GTCATGTGCTGCAAGTGTATTGTACAAATCGTCAAGCAAACGTTCGAACTTCGACTTCGGACTGCCGCCCCCCTATCGCCCTTTTCTTCTTTATCGCCCCCCAAAATATTTCCAACGCCCCTAGGGGGGCGATTTCGCCCACTTTGGGTACCACTGCAGTAGAGGCATCAAAACGCATAATTTCATGCAGAAACCAACATATTCCTGTAAGCGCTGAGCCGTTGACGCTCAATTATATAATGACCGTGACGGAGCTTCTAACCCGGTAAAATATTTTTTTATTTAAGTTATGAGAGTCGTACTGAGAGCTAACGAATGTCAAAGTGCCACACAAACCATATATTCTTATCTAAGCAAATATTATATATTATGTACTATATATTGTATATTTTATATCGTTTAGAATAGTAGTATACTACTTAATCTCTGTATTCATGTAAACCATGCGCAATTCTAATACAATAAATAGAAATAGAACGAAGCAATTTATAGGAAAACAAGTTAGCACTATACCTGTTTCAAAATTAAAAAGTCATGTAATTAATCAGTTATATTACAGGTTTACTTTATTGTTTTGGTTTTGTGGGCTGAATTCAACTAATGAAGTGTATATTAAAAATTAAATTATAAATTTTTTTTCCTCGAAGTTGAAGAAAATTCAAAAGCAGTTTAACGTGGTTCAGGTACTCATGCAGTACACTCGTCTAACATTACTTCAATGAATGGCAAGTTTCAATGCATGTATTTGGCGTCCGTTCAGTCTGCAGACATCGCACAAAGATAGCGTTGTGTCAAAGAACTGTACCTAGTGAGTGAACATATACATCCGCACTATATAAGCACGCCTGGCTTCGTAAGGTGCACCTTGTTATTTTAAGAGAAGGCATTATAAAAATGTCCTTTCAGTAATATGAAAGAGAATTGCGTCGTATACTGTTACATGTCGTATAAATCATCTTGGTCTCTGTCCGTATTTCACTGAGGGAACTTCCGTCTCAAGTTTAAGGTGTGAGATTACTGGCCTCCTCCAGCCTGGCAGTGCACTCTACGAAAAATGAGATGGTCATGCTGTACAAATAGTGACACTTTCGGCACGCATCACTGATGCGCCCTTTCATTAGGGGCAAACTGAGTTAGAATGACCCACACAGGGCGGAATGTGCATCGCTATTTGGACAAGTCTCGCTCAATTCTCTGACTAAATGCACCGGCCGAGCCCAGGCTCCGTTGGCGGGGAGACAATTTGTCCCGCGGCTGAATTCTACCCTCGAAGCTTCAGGGAGTGCCGGCTGAGATTTATAGGCAATAAAATACAACATGGGTCCATCGACTTGCGTTTGAAGTGTGAATTACGTTAAACGAAGTGCAAAATGAATCAGAAAACAAGAAAAAAAATTGCATATGGAATAAAGTTTGATATTTTCCTACGCTCATAACAGAATTTTAAATTTTTTTAGCAGGAAGTGGGTGGCACTTTATTCGGGTGACGAATGAGTGGGTGACCCAAAGCAATGCTCGTGTGAAGACTTGTGCTATTGAGCGTTGAACGATTTGTACGCATCGCTGATCACCTTATAGTTGCAAATTATTCATAGATATGCATAAAATGTTCATTGATTACATTGCTTACGGTGTGCTAGTTAGAACGCAGGTCTAGTCAGCACATAGGTCTAGTCGGCACACAGGTCTAGTCAGCACATAGGTCTAGTCAGCACGCAGGTCTAGTCAGCACACAAGTCTAGTCAGCACACAGGTCTAGTCAGCACACAGGTCTAGTCAGCACACAGGTCTAGTCAGCACACAGGTCTAGTCAGCACACAGGTCTAGTCAGAAAGTTCTGTGCAAGTTAATCTAAAACGCTTACAAGTTGTATCTCAAGGATATCATAACTCAAATAACAGCAAAAATACATAGATAGAAAGTTGAAGTGATTATGACAAAGATGTCAACAGCAAGATATTCTTTTGGCAGAGACAGTTTGGCACAGTTGCTCAGTACCTATTGCATGGTCATTTTGAATGCCAACAGCATAACAATATGCTCTCACCTCCATCCTCGTGTTTAAACAAGAACCATATGACACTTAGAAATATGTCATTTATAACAATATTATGTTTATCAGATCAAGTAATGATTTCTGGAATATTGACATGGCTGTCTTATACACAGTAACGCCAGACATTACCTCTTCTTTGTACACCAAACTCGCGTGCCTCTGTCCTGATTCCACTCAGTGTTGCAGGGCGGAAAGATCTTGTACTGTTCATCAGCTTTATCCTTGTTCTTCTTGGCATCAGCAATCCAGCGTTCTGCATCCTTTTGGTATGGAGTTGCTTCCCCAGAAGCAGTGTAGTACCGGCCTTCCACTTTACCTGCAAAAAAAATCAGATCAATACAAGATAGCTTGGAATTGACTTAGGTACCATTAACCCTCCTGTTGTCTTCATTATGGTACACACCCTATGTCCTCTGAACATATGGTCGAAAATGCAGGTAATTTTTACCCAAAGACTATAGGAGGGTTAATGTTTGCTTGAAAGTATAATTTAACCAGACAATACATGTTTTAATGTTTTCTGCATTAAATAATGGTCTAGAATGACAGTGGAATGAAATTCTTTTTCCTATGTTCAATTGACCTTAGAAAGTTTCATTGATTTAATTCATTAGACTTACACTGTTAAACTGATCAAGTCTCATAGGGCTTTGCGATATAGTACTACGTATATAATAAGCCATATGCTAACCCCAAAGTCCTATAATCAGTATAATGGCAAGTTTTATCAAACAATTAACTGCAAGAATTATTTACAGAGAACATCAGAAAGTCCATTAACAATTTACTAAAAGCCAAACTTTTATGACCTAAACTATCTTCAACTTTTGCATACGGTACATAAACAACAGCACAATATATTTAGTCACAAAATTTTAAATGAAATACATTGGCATTAGGCATTTTAGAAAATGTTCATGACAAGGTAATTAGCATGCATAAGACTTATTTAATTAGTAGCACTAGAGAACTCACCAACATACTTGTAGTCAGAATGATAGAAATCAATCCAAGTTTTGATGCCTAGGTAATCCTGATCAGACATGCCAGCAATGTCATCAGTGAGACCTTCTCCATCAAAATTGCCTGTGACAAACGCACGAGAGGCATCGCGACCTGCAAGTTGAATAGTAAAACTAAAACATCATCACAAGGTGTTATAGGAAAAGTATTTTGATATTTGCACCTAGCCACAAGCTCACATACAAGAGAAAAAACACAAAATAATAAAGTTAAGCATTTGAGTTCTATATCTGAAAGATAGGTAGTACAAATTCTGTGAATGTTCATGAATCTCAGTTGCGTTTTTTGAATCTTACCTGCAAAAAATTCATAGCCTCCTCCAGGTCCATAAAACTTCTCTCCCTTCTTTACATCAAAAACTTGTCCAAGAAAGGCTAGATATAGTCCTTTGCTGCCAGGTTTACCATCATAATTCTTCAATTCCTCAACAGAAAACACTTTTTCAGGCTGAGATTCATGCTCTTTCCCCTTAGCATTAGATTCTTCATCAACAATTGGCTTACTGCTAGTGCCTTTTGCCTCATCATCCACAACACCAAAAATATTGCTTAGCTGTTTATTCACTACTTTGACATATGGTGCTAGAACAGGTTGTACTTTTAACCACATAGGATACACATTGGTTTTTAATTTTTCACCCACCCCATTGAGAAAAGTACTGCACTTTATGGTTAGTTGCTGAACAGTTGGATCACTCAAAAATGTGTCAACCGTGCTTGGTGAGTATTTCTGTAGAAGAACTGCTGAAAGAGCTACCATGAAAGCACATATGAAAGAAATTTTTATGAAACCCATTTTGCTTAGCCAATGCCTGCAAAAAAAAAGAATATTGCATCATTAGCTACCAAACTAGCTTGTAAAGAGCAGTTAAGTATATTGAACTTATTAGTAAAAAATTAACAAAATTTCACTTCACAATCCAAAGCCACTCAAATGGTTTCTAGTTTTCAGAAAATTTCAATATATATCACACATATTTTTTCATAAACCAAAAAAATATCATTTAATCTTTGAGGGTTGTATCTAATCACAAAATAGTGGCACATGGCATTTGAATGCCTCTGCCCTCTTTTAGGAGCTACGGTACTACTAGGGCAACAAGGGTTTTGTAAAGAAACAGTTTGAAACATTGGTATATTCCCTGTTTGATGGTATTCATTGCATACAGGCAAGGAATATATCTACCTAGCCTTAAACCTTTTAACCAATCTGAAATATCAGGCAGAACTTCCCTAAAATCATAGGTAAATAAAACAAATAAAAAAAACTTTCAAAAAACACAGTTTCTTAAGGCTTGTAGTCAAAATGCAGCGAAGTCTGAGAGCAAGGTTTTCGCGACCATCGTGTAAAATCCTTGATCTGCCCAAAGCTCGGCCAGTCGCTACCCTTGAGCTTGTACTCTTTATAATATGATATCCTAGCCAGACCCTTCTTCGCGGGAACTGGTCGCTTTCAGGTGGCCGAGGAACGGCCAACAGTCGGCTATAACTAATTGGATAGGCCGACCACTGGCCACGTATTATTCTTCGCCCCTCATTGACTTCACCTTTACCATGCCACCCTTTGTGAACTGACAGTTGGAGTAATTTACGACGTCTCTTTCCCCTCAAATATTGCACAACGTCTCCATTTGAGCAGCTAGTACGCGGGATTTTCCCTCCGCATATCAGCAGGCTCAATCATAAATATTTTTTGGTGGAAAATATCTATAACAAGGAGGCTGATCAAGGAATGCCGAGTATACCATTCAATGGAGAATAAAAATTACAACCCGTTAACATCTCGAAAAAAGTCGCAGACATGATGAACAAAAATATTCAAAGTTTCTTGAAATTTCCTCTCAATAAAACTCTTTTAATACAAAGTTTACATATTTTCTGTTACTGGTCGACGCTTATAAATAAATAGCTGGGTAAGTATGGAAAAATCCATATCGCCATCTCATTTGCGAGTGGAGTAAAGTTTATCCTAATTAGTGAAGAAACGCTTAGGGAAGAGCCGAGCCTGTTCGAAGCCTCTCGGTTTTCAATCAGGGCCTTAACAGACAAAAAAGAAACATCAACTTTTTCAGTGAGTTGTCCTAAATTTTATTCTTCACCTAAAATACAGTCTAAAGTTTATTTTTTTCGAATCTTATGCTGAAAAAACACAAAAAATATGGGGGCTGACCATAAGACACATCCATTACCCAAGTTCTATTCATAATAGGTACCTACGTAATCTGTAGCTCCTCAAAATATATGATATTTAGATCTTCACAGTGCCTGCCCCACATTTTTTGAGTTTTCTCAGCATAAGATTTGAAAAAATAAACTTTAGACTTCATTTAAGGTCACAAATAAAATTTAGGACAACTCACTGAAACAGTTTATTTTTTGTCCGTTGAGAAAACCTGGTTTTAAAAAATTTTTTTATTGTTTTTAGTTTTGAAACCACCAGAAAAACATGTTTTTAAAAATGGTTTTATATTGATTTATTTCCTACTTTTTAGTTCAATAATTGTAATAATTAAAACAAACTCTCAGCAGCACAGCATGCTAAAACTGGTTGTTTGACAAAAAAACTCTATTCCCAACCATGAACTTTTTCTATCCATACAAAAGTCAGTTAAATTGAGTTAATTAATTTAATGATTTTTAACTATCAACTTAGCAGTCTTAGCCTAGGTATTACTTCTGATGATAAAATCTTTAATTGTTAGGCAGCATAAGCCTGCATGCCAATTGCCAAATTTCAAGCTTCTAGCTAGGATCTTCAGAAGTGCTCTAAAATCTAAATTAAGGTTTAAATTTTTGATGATGATGACAGTTGACAGACAGACAGACGGACATGAAGCAAAAAGAAGAAAAATGTGGTACCTAGCCTAAAATGATTCATTTCACATGTGATTTTAAAATCATGAGAGAAAATAGGAGTAAAATTGGCCAAATTCACAGGCATTTTGTCCAATTCATGTGTGCATGGTGCCAATCCATAGGTTATTCAAAAGAACCTGTTCTTATGTCATTTTGAACCGATCAACACTTCTTTATGGACCGATCGTAAAACACACCTTCANATCAATTTCAAAACTCCACATATTTCTAAAGGGAGTTGTGATGAGACCATGGGGATGGGGCCAGGGGTCGAACTGTTGAGTTTAGACCATTACAACTTGCAAGAGGGGCCCAAGGGCCAAGGGCATGGGGCCTTGCGAAGGGTTAAGACCGACGCACGGTGGTGGACCAATAAGTACTCACAATAATTCCCTGCCGCCATGCATGTGTGGCAGCTGTGGCTTGTGCCTGTTAAGAATATTGGGCAGAATTTTCCTAATATCAGTGGCAAAAAATTAGTGTTTTATAGGTATTTTCCAAAAATTGTGGGTAAAATGTAAAATAGGCAGCATTTCTTATTTTTTTATTAAAGAGATTGGGAAAAGGCTATATATATATATAGGAACAGAGGAAATAGGCTAAACCAGATTTGTAGACATTTTTGCCTAATTTATGGGTTGCTTCTGCCCATCGGCATCACAGCCAATTGCAATGAATGGGACATGACCGGCTCAAGTTTTGAATTAACAACTAGGTAACAAGCACAAGGCAGCACCTGCATGTGCCTTTTTTTTATAATTTATAATTGATTATAAGACTTCAGGTATGAAGAGATCAATCCCCCTGTCTGAGCACAATTTGATTTTTATCCGAGCCTTTTCTCTCTTGACAAGTTGACACTCATCGAATCGTCGTTTGAATCGTTTCAGTTTAATTTCAACCTACCGGTAGCTCACTCTCTCACCACTCACCAGGCAGTAGGTAGGTAGGCACCACCGCATCAGGCATCAGCCGGTGCCCGGTGTTTTTTTTGCAAGAAAGATACAATATAAATAGTTACTGCCTACTGGGCATGTTCATAGGGTGTTCACCATGCTGCAGATCAGCAGGTATTGTCCCAGACGACGAATTACTGCTGTGCGTATTTTCTAAGGAGACTGATTGATATCTCCTCCGCAAGAGCTGCACGTAACACTCTGCACTCACCTCACTGTCTCACACTACGCCATGACTACGGAGCTTGGTTGTAGGTGTCCGCACTGTGGCTAATAAGCTAAGGACCAAAAGTTTTTGCCATATTCATTTCTCAAAAAATGTAACCAATAATATTTATCTAAGATGATTTCATTCAAAATTTTAAATGCCTATGCAATGATGTTCTTAGTATAGGAAGGCCTAAAGCGTAAACCCAAGAAATAGAAAGTGCATAGAAATAACCTATGTTTAATTTTCCGGTATATATGTTCCTTATCTTCTAATAAAACAATTCGTCAATGAGCCCTACAAAAATTGCCACATATCTGGTAAATGAAATTAAAAATTATCCTTCCGCCGAAGCCGATGCGAAAGTTTTCTATATGTTTCTTCGGTTTACCAGCCGTGAATGCCGTGAATACACTCGATCGACAATTCTACGGACTCGCCAGCGGACTCGTCTGCGGACTCGCGCAACTGGGCAGTCTGGGCTACTCATAATTCCTCAAATACTTAACGGATCTGTATGAATTTTGGAATATGAATATTAATTATCGATACGCTGCCGCAGGAATTATTACAGATTTTTACATGAATCATTTTTAATTAAAACCAATAAACGTATTTTTTAAGCAACTGGGTCACTCATAATTCCTTCAATACTTAACGGATCTGTATGAATTTTGGAATGTGAGTATTAATTATCGACACGCTGCCGCAGGAATTATTACAGATTTTTACATGAAATATTTTTAATTAAAACCAATAAACGTATTTTTAAGCAACTGGGCCACTCATAATTCCTTCAATACTTAACGGATCTGTATGAATTTTGGAATGCCTAGCAAATTACGGATCAGGCAATAAGTAAGATCGGGTTCCAAAGGCCGGATCCCTTGTGAATCAAGTCACGAAAAGTTCAAGAATCGGCAACAGGCCATGGGCCTATTTCTTCAACGCCGACACTTCTATTCTATTCTATAGGAGTGTTTCTATATGTCCCTGTAGTTAGCTATGCCTTGAATTTAGCGCTACATGCAAGTTATAGAGTAAATCGTTGGGCGGGACGTCACAGTCCCGTCAGTCAATTACTTTTGAGTTGACATAGGCGCAGGAGTGTTACTCATGTGTCCCTGTAGTTAGCTATGCCTCGAATGGTATGCTGTATGCAAGTTATGGAGTAAAAAATTGAGTGGGACGTCACAGTCCCGTCAGTCACGAAAGGGTTAAGCTGACGTGGCCTGCTCGAGGATGATGATCCCGGTGAATTGGAAGACCAGGGTTGGTGAATGGTGATGAAGACGAGGTGCTTGGCTTGATGGTGTAATCGTGGTTGCGTGGTGAGTGAAGACACATGTAGTGATTAGTGAAGTCGTCCAGGTACGATATTTAGCGTATATAACAGAGATGACGTCGTTATGCTGATAGAGACGACGTCAGTACGCTGACAGAGACGGCGTCAGTACGCTGACAGAGACGCAGACAGGGACGGCGTCAGTTCACTGACAGAGAAGCAGATAGAGATGCAGACAGAGACGCAGATAGAGATACAGACGCAGATAGAGACGGCGTCAGTACGCAGACAGAGATGCTGACAGAGACGCCGATAGAGATGCTGACAGAGACGCCGATAGAGATGCTGACAGAGACGCAGATAGAGACAGCGTCAGTACGCAGAAAGAGAAGATGACAGAGACGGGAGTTTGCACGTTACAGGGGCAGGAATGTTTGCCGATGTGGGGTCAGAGAGATGCTGGCAGCTCGATGAGAGAGAGAGAAAAGGACGCTAGAAAGGAGGAGACC